AGAGAGAGAGAGAGAAAGAGAGAAATCACCCAATTACTAGAAAAGAACTAACTAAAAAGAAAAAAAAAAGGAAATATAATGTAACGAAGAAGAGAAAAGAAAACTAGAGATGGAAAGAATAAAGTAAAAATAAAAAAGAAATAATTAAATCGATATATGAATAATGGTAATCGATATACAAACACGTCACATCACACCATCAAAACAGCAGAAATTAAAAGAGTATAGACAGAGTTTTTTCTTTTTTTCTTATTTACCCAATGATAAGAGGGGGCGTGCATGTGGAGGGGATACGAGCACGGGAGGTCCTCCTTTTGCCTCAAACTCTCAAAAATCGGCGTCAGCTGGCTCATAAACTCCTCCGCTATACCATAAACGAAAAGTTTAGGAATACACCGGTCTTGTTGTATTGCGAGATTACCGTTTTTTCTTTTTCTTTTTTTTCTTTTTTGATCCACGATCGAACGAACGTGTAGAGCTTTCGATCTTCTCGATACGCTTGTTCGAAAGCTCCACCAATGTTCGATAATAAGATTATCAAGAGATCAACGACGGCTATGTTCGAGCCGTCGGATTCGAAAGATTCAACGTACGGAATCTGACGGATAATAGAAAGATAAATTAAAATTAAAATTAAAAAAAACAACAGAGAGAAACAAACGATAAGAAATATATATATATATGTATAAAAAAAAAGGAGAGAAGAAAAAAAAAAGAAGAAGAAATAGAATCTCGTGAAATCGCATCTCCTGAGGTGAGCTACTCTGTGATTCTTCCTCGGCGGGACGAAGCGGCGCCGGAAGGGATTCGATTTCCGATTCGCTGCACGACCCGTGAACTTGATGAATCCCGAGAACTTGAATTTCGAAGGCGCATTCATTCGCAGCGTGGCTGCTATAGCTAATAGGATCATACAGTGGAGGACACATTTGAAGGGAAAACTGAGAACCAAACGGGGTGATCTCTTCGGAGTGAGGATTCGAAAATGATGGACGAAGGGGATGATCGAAAGCGCACTACCTCGAAGGTGCATTGGCTGGGCTGTATGTATATATATATATAAGGTAGCTCTAGGTGCGGGGCGATTGCTACCGTATCGAAGCGTGGCATGCTCGCATGCGAGGAAATTAAAAAAAAAAAAAAAAAGTAAAAAAAATATGAGAAATAAAAAAAATACAAATTTCCACAGGATCGAAGAGAAAAAAACAAAATAATCCCTGATTTCCTTCAAGATCAGGTCAGGCGGTTACTTACCTCGATACGAGTGACTGTCGAGATCGGATTGAGCTAGCCGAAGACCAGAGAGAAGAGAGAAGAGAGAGAGAGAGAAGAGAAAAGAACCGGGCAAAGCGAAGATAAGTCAGAGAGAGAGAGAGAGAGAGAGAGATAGAAATAGAAACGAAAGGATGCGTGCGATCGATATCGAGAACCAAGGAAACATCGAAAACAAAGTGATTCCCATGGTGCATCGATCGGCTTTCCGGCGGGTGAACGGATCTCAACGAACGATCCAATATTTGCGTTTATATTTTTCTCGAATCGACCTTGAGTGACTCGAGGCACGCGACACGATGGACAGAAAGAGAGTTTTTTTAGAACGAGGCCTCGTCCACGCGGATAACTAAAAATTGTCGAAAACAATTAACGTATCTACTCTTAATTGTAAAATAGATAAAAAAAATTCGTTCGTATCTACGTGAAAGAGGCCTCAAGTTTCCCCCCTCCCCCTAAGATCGATCCCCCTTAACGTATTATCCAACGAGATTCGCAGCTCTGTTTCGAATAATACGATAAATAAAATCGTAAGATCGATCGAAGGGAAAGAGAAGAGAATGGTGACACACACACATTCGTTACCTTGGTGATGGGTCCGGCACTCGCGGATGAGATATGAGTACGCTGCAACGTGGAGGTAGGGCTCGGCTTCGATCTGAACGCCGTCATTGTCTGGCTGACCCCGTCCGCCAATATGAATTGCTCTCGCAGCTCGATATTCGTTCTTCCCTTGGCTACAGTGTGTTGCGTGCACGCAAGTTAGAAGGAAAGCCAGTTACGGGACATGTATTGCGGGGTGGCGAAATAATAACAAGGGCGAGGGGGGCAGGGCGGGGCGCATTGGCAATGTTTTTTTTTTTTANATATATATGTAGACAAAGAGAGAGAAAGAAAAAGAAGAGAGAGTAACGAGCGTAGAGAAAAGAAGAAAGTAACGATGATATACAGAGAGCGTGTATTTAATGGATAGCCGAGAGAGAAATAGCAGAGGAAACATAGTGTAAATCAGAGCGATCAGAGATATACAAGAATATGTAAAGCGATCGGATATGTATATATATATATGTATATATATATGTAAGAGTGGCGTTATATATCGAATATAATCATGCGCGTTATCAATAGCGATGTATCAAAGAATTTAAGAATCGAGTTTTATCGTAGTAAGGTGTTGTGTTATCGTGCAAAGAGAAAATTGAAGTAGAAAGAGAGAAAGAGAGAGAGAGAGAGAATAGAGAATGGTATCATTATACAGCAGTAACAGCAAAGGTTAAATAGTTGTGGCGATTAACGGAGAGGCAATGATAATAGCGGCGCACGCGGTATGTCATGTGCGAGTGTACAATGGAACAAAAAAAGAGAAAAAAAAATACAGTGTTGTATTATAGAATATTCGTCCGATAATAGAGAGAGATGAGTAATTAAGAGGTAAGTAAAATCGCGATATATAAATAAATGTCGAAGAATATTTTCTTTTTTAAAATAAACCGCTTTCATTTCGTTCGATCCAACTATGGTTCCCCTTTATATACCAGCTATTCTCGTGACGTGAAAATGATCCGTCAGATGGCATGCGAATCGCGACGGCGTCGAAAGTCAACTATTCGACTCGTTCAAAAACACTCGTTTCAAACTCTCTATTTACGTTTCCCGATTAATAATGCGAGTCGAGTTTCGACGACGTCGTTTAAGTAAGAGATTGAACGAAATGTCTCGTTATACGCGGGTAAAAAAGAAAATCGACACGACGTTCATGAAATGGATCTCGTTCATCTTTTGCCGTGTGATGAAAGGAGGAAAATGACTCGTGAGAGGTTAGACCATACTAATTTAATCAATCGATTAATTGTCAAGTAAAAATCTACGCGAGCTCCTTTTTTCAAAAGATTCTCTGTTAGACTCGACTCGAAATACGACTTGTCTTGCATGCCAGTATTTATATTAATACACACGCGAAAACGAACTAACAGATACACAAGAAAAAAACTTGGAACTCGTTGCGGGAAAGCAAACGTACGTAACACATGTACAAAAAAAACACGTACCATGCAGGATATAACGTTCATTTCGTGGCCAGTACGAGATAACGAGATAGAAACATTTACGAAAATTTTTCGCAATTTGTTTTCTCACGAAAAAAGAACGAAGAGAGAGAGAAAGAGAGAAAAATACAACGCACGGGCCACGAATTGCAATTATTCCCATATAAAAAGATTCTCACCGAGCGGACACCAACCCTCGTGTTGTTCCGGTTTGTTAGGGTCCGGTATCGGCATTAGAAAAACTTGACGAGTTAATTACGATTTGAGATAGGACTTGAACTGGTCCATTTATTAATTTATTTAATAGAAAATATTACGAAGGCATGCAATATTTAATAAACTCGATGCGTGATTGAAAAAAATGTACACGTAATAACAATGTCGGAGGTAGGTAATACGTCGAGATAAAATTGTGCTTAATAAATTGATGAGATGTCTCGATGGAGACGGAGAAAATTGTTATTCGATCAAGGGAAGCGAGGGAATTGGCAGAGGATGATTATTCGGTCGGCGATTATTAGTAAACTGATACGTATACATGATTAATGATTCAAAGCGAAAATAATTCTTCCTGAATTACGAAAAAAATTCACATTTACGATCGTTATTATGATATAGTGATAACCGAACGATCGAGTTCCACGAACTTGCTTTGCAGAAACAAGGATAGAACGGAATGGCTAACTGGCAAAAATTGTAATAATGTAAAAAAAAAAAAAATAAACAAGTTTAAAAATTAATTCGTGGAACGAAGATTCGTTCGTGATGATTGTGAGGGGTTAATGATCAAGCTGAAACGAAAACTTAGCGAGTACTTAAGGTAAAAAATATTATACGCGAAGAGGAGGTTGCAACTAACGAGCACACGCTTTCTTCTCTTGCTCGTATATACACGTATACACGATGTTAAAATACTCGTCCAGAGTATTACGGTTAATGATTAGTCACGCTCACACTTTGTACCTCAGGAGCTGAGATCGACACGTATACTAAATGTAGGTGAATATATATATATATATACATATATACTTTATATATATGTGTGTGTGTATATATATATATATATATATTCCACCAACGAAAATGCGACGCAATGAAGAGAAAATGAATGATCGGCGCGAGAAAGAGAGTCGATGAGGGTTCGTTAGTGAGACAATTTGATGAATGAAATTTTTTTTTTCTTTTAGTTTTAATTTTCAATGATCGCGAAAATATATTTATTAACCGAGGCAGCGGAAAGCGAATTGAATTGCATTTCTTTCCCTTCTCTTTGATTTAAGTAACGGTTTTTAGTAAACTGAGCAAAACGCAAATAACAAAAACTCAAGGTAAGAAGCATATGTTAACGTTAGTGAAGATATCTCAAATCAAACAAAAAAAAAAAAACACACATACGATTAATTCAATCCCACACGCGTTGTTTAGTCGATAAAGAAAATATAAACGCGTTTAGCTGCCTCATTGGATGGGGACAGGGGGTTGGGGGACGGTGAATTTTATTTTTTTTTTTTTTTTGGTTCTTTTTAAATCGGTCGATTAATTTCGCGTTCAAAGGCAAACAGGGAAGACGAAACGGAACGGTCGAGGGAAAAATTTAAAGATGTACTGATAAAATTGTTACGGCAAAAAAAAAGTCATTCAAAATTGGACTAATTTCGAACTCATCGATTCCGACGGAAATATTTTATATATGTATATATAGAACGACGGTAACGGAATAGAGAGAAAGAAAATTAGATAGAATAAATGGATGAAACACTTACCGCGGCAAGGATCATTTTTTAATAAAAATTCGTCCAAAGCTACCCAACCACCACCGACTCGTACCATTACGGTCGATCGTAGAATTCGTACCAATCGCAATTTTTGACTGTCCCCGAACTGTAACCGCGAAAAGAAAAACATCGAAATTAAAATAGTTAAAACGCGAACAATAAAATATATGTATAACGTTTAATAATCGAAAAAAATGAAAATCAATTTTCAGATATATCTGTATACCCTATATTTTCCTTCGCCAACTTGAAACACGCGGAATTTCTGTCGACAAGTACAGAGCATCACCAATCGTTTCACTTCATCATGGATCTTATCCGTATCGTTGTACGTCCTACGTTCTTCCCAATCTGGTCTCAAAGCTGCGATGAACTCCTTCCAATCTATCAATCCTTCGCCATGTTGGTCGAACAAATCCGCGACAGCTCCCATTTCTAACCTCGAAGTCTCAAATTCTATAAAAAATTAAATTGTATCAATTCAACGTGTCGTTTTCAATCATTAAATATTTGCAACAAAGTTGAAACAGAGAACTCACTGGTATTCATGATTCCTTGGATGAAATCCTCGCGTGGAATCAAACCGTCGTTGTTCTTATCCATCTTTCTGAAGAGATCCGTCAGCCTGGACTTCTTGTGATTCATGAACTTCAGGAACTGAAGTGAACGAACGAAGAACGAAAAAAAAAAAAAGAAAAATTTAATTGTCAATTTGAATAGAAACTAATGGAAAATTGAAAAATAATAACTATCCTTGTCATCCTTACCCTCTTACGCCAATCCTCCCAGCTGAAGTTCGCGACTCGGTCCAATTCTTGTATGTAATTATATTTATCCTGTAGACGGCGTTGACGTTCCCAAGCCAACATCCAAACGTGTCTCCATCTATCCCACAAAAGTTTCACTCTCGGGCTACGGAACTCGGGTTCGGCGCCTTTGCTATACATCGAACAAGAAAATTGCGTCAACACGTTTTCGTTCTTTCTCATCGTGCGGGAACGATGATGTTACGTGTAAACAAAGCATGAGAGGCAAAGAAAGTGTATGTACGATAAAAAAAAAAGAAAATATATTATAAATCATTAAAAACGATCCTTATATATCTTCTCTAAAATAACTCTTTGAAACTTAACGAATAAAAGAGAGAACAAAGATTCTCGAAACAGAGAAAGAGAAAGAGAAAGAACAAACGATGAATTCACCAAATAAATTGAATCGTAGTTTCATTGAATGTGATTGATAAAACTGTAAAGAAAGATAAATGAAAAAAAAAAAAAAAGTAGTATTTTATAAAAGGGGTTAAAAGCGAAGCACTGATTAGAAAGAATGGAAGTAAGGATGTGGACGTGACGAACCTTCCTTTAGGTGGGAAGCGTGGGCCGATGTGCGGCAACGAATCGGGCGTTCTCTCACGACCTGGGCTGGCTCGGCTAAACAGGAACATGCGTCACATCACTCTCTACCGGATACTCGCGGAACTAATCGAAGTCGTGCATCGAAATCGATCGTGCGTCAGCCATGATCGATCCTCGAGTTACCTCGTCGAACGAGCAAACGGGAAAACAGGGGGAAAGGAAAGGAGAATAGGCCGCGTTCTAGATCGTTCGAAATCTATTCCAACGTGATAACCAAGCGTAACCGCCGTACATATATAGCAGCCTATTCTCGACAAAGTTCGTAAAGTGTACGCTTTGGACGCGGCTCGAGCTTTCGTTTCATTCAAATTCAAAGATACGCTATATATCTGCATGCTGCCACTACGAAACGAAACAACCGATTTTTTTTTTATTTCTCCCCGTTTTACTCGCCTGAACGCACCTTTCTGTCGATCCCAACTCGTTCCCCTCGTGCGTGGACGCCTGCACTTGACTCGTTAACAGAAAATCTTTCACGCAGACAGAGAGAATTAAAAAAAAAAAAAAAAAAAAAAAATAAAATATACAATTGGAAGAGTATCAAACACATGCACGGGCAAGTGTAATTTTTCAAACGACAAAGCGTACGCAAACGAAAAACAACGGGAAAGGAACAGAGTTATTCGATTCGGTTATTTTTAAATTAATATCGAGAGAAGCGGATATCGGCGAGTATCGTTTTTTTTTTCTTTTTTTTTTTTTGGCTTTTCATCTACCTCGAACGAGCGTGATCCTTGGTGCGATCTCGCTAAAAAATTGGAACTAAAAAAAAAAAAAAGAACGGGGAAAAGAAAGAAAGAAGAAAGAAAGGAACGTGAACGTACGTTGGCGCGGGCGACTTAGCCTTCGTTATCTTCTTCGTGTCTTTCGCGGATTTGATCTGCCTGGCCTTGCACACGCGATCCACCTCGTCCTGTCTACGGCTCGTGTTCTCCATAAATTCTCTGTGCTCTCCGATCAACATTTCCAGAGTGGCTTTGTCGTCAGGCAGAGGCTCGGCCTCGAGGGCGTTCAAAGTGTTCTCCAAACCTTCCAACCACGACAACAACTCCTCCAAAAGATTGTCCAAGTCCTGGGATAAATATATAACACGAATAAATAAACGAAACGTTCGAAGGAGAAAAATTACTCACCTGAAGTCCACGCATGTGATTCTCGAGCCTCTGATTCCTTTGCTGGGCCCACGTGGAAACCTCCTCCCATCTCGACTGAATGATCGTTATCCAATGTTTGATGACCAAAGCGCCGTCCGGGTGTGCTTTGGCGAGGATCGACTGGGCCAACTCCAACGTCTGCTCCTTCTCCACCTCTTTCGCGCGCAACTCCCTCAAAAACTTCTCGTGCTCCATCAACTGGTTCCTGCTCTCCTGCTCGTCCTCGGGCAACTGTCCGGCGAATCTCAGCTTCATCTCTGCGTCGCTCAACCACTCGAGAAGCACGTGGACGGCCTTGTGCAGCCGTTCAGCCTCCCTGAGAGCGGCCTCGAGCCGCCCCGTCTTCTCAGACGACAGCCTGGTCACCGTGTCCCAAAGATCGTTCAACTCTGCCAATTGGGAGCCGATCGCAGCAGCGTCGTCCGGCGTCGCCTTGTCGAGAAGCTCGCGCCCCGTCCTGATCACCGACTCCATCTGTGAGGCCCTCGACTCGAGATCCTTCTCGAAGGTTTTGTGCTGCTCGACCAGGTTGGTCACCGTGTCTAGGTCCCCGAAAAGGGGACCGGTGTTGGCCAACTGCTTCTCGGACTTGACCAACCATTCGAGCAACGCTTGGACGGCGTCCTTGAACTGGCCCGAGAACAGCAACGCCTCCTCGAGCTTCCTCTGCCTGTCCACGCACTTGCCGCACACAGTCGTCCACTTGTTCTTCAACTCGTTCAACAACTCCTTCAACGGGGCCTCGTCGCTCTTCGGCGCCTTGTCCTTCAACGACTTGCCGCTCTTCATGGTCGCGTCGTACACGCCCTGCTTCGCGCTCAGCGCCTTCTGCAGCTCGCGATGCTTGTTCAACCTTGCCTTGATCCTCTCCGGATCGTTGCCTCCGAGCCCTGCCCCGTCCCCTGCCACCTCGTCCAGTACCTTCTCCGTTTCGTCGAGCCAATTCATCAGGCTCGACCAAGCGTCGTGGAACTCCCTCGCCTCCTTGTAACCGTGGTCCAACGCCCTCGTCCTCTCGGCCGACTTCGAGACGACCCTCTCCCACCTGTGTTGCACGCTTATCAACAAGTTCTTGATCAGTATCACGTCCTGCTTCTGGGAGAAGTACTTCAAATGGGTCCCCTTCTTGTCCAGGTTGAGCATGGTCTCGCGGTGGACGCCCACGTCCTTCTGGAACGCTTTGTGCTCTTCTATCTGGCCGAGGATCGTCTCCATCACCCTCGAGACAGGTTTCAAATTCGTGAGGATCTTTTCCGCGTTGGTCAGCCAGTCGACGAACGATTGGAGGGCGTCGTGGAACTCGGTCGCCTCCCTCAACGCGATCTCGAGCTTGATCCTCTTGTCGTTGGCGCGAGCTGTCACGTTGTCCCAACGTTGCTTCAACGTCCTCAAATTGTGGCTCAATCCCCCCGCGCTGCTCGTGTCGGCGCGCTTCAAGTACTCCTGACCCTGTTGGAGAACGGTCTCGACCTTGGACCGGCTCTGCTCCAACTCGTTGTACACCTCCATGAAACGCTCGAGCTGCTCGGTGGCCGTTTCCGGCAAACCGCCGACCGGCTTCGAGGCGACTATAGTGTTGTCCACGTCGCCCAGCCACGACAACAGATCCTGGATCTCGGCGGTGAACGACTGCGCCTCCCTCAAAGCGTCCTCCAACTCGCGTTGGCGGTCGGCGGCGCGCTGCAGCAGATCGCGCCAACGGCGATTCAACGTGCCGAGCTTCTCCGCGGTGGTCGAGGCCTCGGCCGTTCCCTTCCCGTCCTCGATCAGTTGCCTGCCCGCGTCGTTCAACGTGTCCACGCTCGTCTGATGGGCCTGGATGTCGTTCACCAACACCTTCAGCTTGGCTAACTCGACCTCTATCACCTGAGGATCGCCGGCGACCGCCTTCAAGTTGTCCAACGTGTCGTCCGTTTTCTCGATCCACACCAGCAGCTCGTCCAACGCGTGTTGGAATTGGCCGAGGCGGAGCAACGCGTTCTCCAGTAATCTCTGCCTCTCCACCAGGCCGCGAAGAAGTCCGTCCCATCGTTTGTTCACAGCGCCCAGCGGCTCTTTGATGGCCGCCGCTTGCTCCGACGACGTCCTCTCCGTTAATTCCGCGGCTTGCCTGCAATCGTGGCGGGGAAAGATCGTGATTTCTTCTTCGAGAAACCGTCCAAGAAGGAAGTATTATTATTATTATTGTTGTTGTTGTTGTTGTTGCTGTACTCACAGCGTCGTGTGAGAAAGCGTGTTTAAGATTCATTACAATCGATGTTAACGAGCTCGACGAGATCTACTTGGGAAGGGGATCGATACGGGGGAATCGTCGAAGGAATTACTCAAATCCGAATTGATCGAATCTTCCATCGAATGCTATTATTATTCGTTTTTACGTATCATCGAACGAGATCATCTTGAAGGGAATCGTAAGTAATTCCTCCTGATAACGATTCAAAAGAAAGGAAACACGTCGCGATACTAAAGTTTAATGTTCACTGGTGGAAAAAAAGTCTGGCGGTTAATACGAGCAGCGTGGTGTTTCTCGCGCGTATTAATTCGATCGCGACAGAGAGAGACAATAAAATGACATAGTCATAGAATTCAGAATATTTCTAATAACGTATCGATTATAAAACTAATTTTTACGATTTTGAATATATATATAGCTCTTCTATCGTTACTTCTAATAAACTTAATAATTTTATAAACGATTGTAATTTCGTATTGAACGTAAAATAATTTTGAAATTATTCGAATTATTGTAGCTCTTTCCTACTAGCGCGTGGCGTCAACGAAGCGTGTAAAATGTGAAGATAAGACGAAAGGCCCCTCTTGCTCCTGTACCGTCTGCCACGAGACTTTTTTTCAACGATGAACTATATATATATATATACCTACGGTACAATACGTGTAAGTAGAACAGGCACGTCACGAGCCAGGCAACAGCCAAGGCAGACATGCAGGGCAAGGTATATGTACAATACGTTCGCTGACCAAAAACACTGTTCGAATTCCAACGGACGATGTTAAAGGAAATCCAATTCATTCGATCTTAACTGGGATGACTGTGTTACGGATATATTATATACGATTAAAGGGGGATATGGGGTTTTATAACCTGTGGCATTCCAATAATCTGGATCTATTATATATATATATATACTCGAAGGTTATAAATCGAGGGTAATAATACGTATTATAAAAAAATTATAATAATAATAATAACAAGAGTGTAAGCCATGCTCTAACTACATACTGTTACAACAACAGAGAGAGAGAGAGAGAGGTTGACTTGCCTTGTCAGACTCCTATGCGTTCAGGAACACCGGCGCGGAAAAACAAAAATTGGGATTAGAATCTCGCTGTTTAGACACGTGGAGAGAGATAGAGAGAGAGAGAGGCACAAAGATGGAAGATCGATGCGACGATCGACAAGTACAAGTAGACTAATAAAGTAGAGCGGGTGAGCAAAATCTTGATGTGATCGATTAAAATAATCTCGTGGAATATATTACGATTGTTATGCATAATTCTTTTTCTCGACCCGCGAAAAACAAATTCGGGAGGGCACGACGATCCCGCGAATCTAAAAAACTAATCGAAAAGAGCGGATTACCTGTTCAAAGCCTCGACCTTGACCATGTGAGGATCTACTTCCGCTTTGAAATTGGCCAACTGTTTGATCTGTTTCTTAACCTCGTCGATGTCGCTCCCGAGTGGGCCCATGCGGGCGAACTTCTCCTCGGCCTCCTCCAAGAACTCGAGCAGATTCTGCAACGTCTCGTGGAACTCCATAGCCTTCTCCATCGCGTCGATCAAGTTCTCCTCCCGCCTCGCGTACAAAGCGGTCACGTTGTCCCACGCTTGGTCCAAGTCCTCGATGTGCTTCCTCACCTCAGGCTTGTCCGGCTCGCCGCACAGGCCCATCAACTCGTGGCCAGAGGCGCGCACCTGCTCCACATCGGGCTTCGTCTGATCGATCTCGTGCCTTATCTCCTGCAAGGCGACCTGCTGCTGCTGTATCGCAGCCGGCTGCGCGGCGGCGGCGCCTGGCCGGCCAGGGCGTCCTGCAGCTCTCGCAGCGTCGACATAACCCCGTTCAACTCGGACCAGAATTTCTCCGCGATTTGGAGGGCGTCGTCGAGGGTGTGGCTTCGATCGGTGGTAGATTTTTGCACGTCGGCCCACAACTTGTTCAACTTCTCCAGCTTCCGTTTGATGTCCTTCACGGCCGGATCGGCCCTGTTCCCCGCCTTGCTGATCACGTCGTCGGCCGCCCTCTTCACGGCCGCGTACGCCTCCGACCTCTGCGCCAACTCGTCGATCAGGGCCGAGTTCTCCTCCATCTGATCCCTCAACCGGCCCGGATGGGCGCTGATCGGCTCGGCCCCGTTCACTTGGTCGGCCGTCGACGAAAGGGCGCGCAGCATCCCTTCCAACTTGTCCGAGAATTGGGACGACTCTTGAAGCGCCTGCTCCAACGTCTGCTGCCTGCTCCTGAGCTCCGCCCTGAGGGCCGCGTATCGGGCCGTGTCCGCCTCGAGGATGTCCTGTATCTTCATCCCCTCCTCCTCGTTGCACAGTTTGATCAAAGCCTCCCCTGTCTTGTTCAATTTCTCGACCAACGGTTTGTGCTCGTTTATGCTCTGCACCAGGAGCTCGTTCTTGTCCTGCTGGGCGACTATCAGGTCGGGCCTCAGAGCGGGCATCGGCAGCATGGCCACCTGTTGCTCCGCCTCCTCCAGCCAGCTCACCAAACCCACGTGGGTGTCGCGCAGATGCTCGGCCAATGGCAGCGCCTGCTCCAACGCGCCCAGCCTGTCCGCGGACAGCCCGGACACGATCTCCATCGTCTCCCTCAGATCCTCCATGTTCTCCCTGATCGTCGACGTGTCCTCGTGCCGGCTGTTCTCCCGTATCACCTTCTTCGCCGTCGAGATCACGTCCCTGACCCGGCCCTTCTGGCTCGATATGTCGTCGTTCAACGCCTTGTGCTCCTTCAACTGGACCCTGATTATCTCCGGCTCGCTGCTAGGCGGCTCCGCCTCCCTCAACTGATTGTCCACCTCGCGGAACCACTCCAACAGATCGTCAATGTCCCCGATCACCTCGAGGGAGCGTTGCTTGCTCAACTGTATCCTCTCCGCCTTACGCTGGATCTGCTCGGCGATCGCGTCGAACCTCCTGTTGTCCCTGGTCACCAGTGCCTCGATCGTGGCAGCGCCCTCGCCAGGCGACAACTGGGACAACTGGGGCCCGACCGCGTTTATCTTGTCGAGGACGGGTCTGTACTCGGATATCTCCATCTCGAGGCGGACGATCTCGTCCTCGCGCGGCTCGGCCGATTGGAGGGCGGACTCGGCCGCCTGCATCCAATCCATCAGACGGTTGTGATTGTCGTGGAACTGTTGGACGAGGGGCAACGATTCCTGGGCGTGTTTCAACAGGTCCGAGCCCCGGCTCACGAGGTCGTTGAACCGCCGTTGCAACGAGTCCAGCTTGTCCTTCAGCTGCAACGCCTCGTCGCTCGATATGTGCTTCATCAGCTCGAGGCCCGAGTCCGTGGTGCTGTCCACCTCGGTCTGCCTGCTCGACACCTCCTCGGTCAGATCGGCCAGGTCCTCCATCTGTTGGAGGAGCTTCTCCGTGTGCACCGCCAACACCCTGTACTTGGACAATCTCATCTCCATCCCCTCCATCCACGCCTGAAGCTCCTGGTAGCTAAGCACCAGGTGGCGCAACCCCTGCCTCGAGCGTTGGAGCAAACCGCCGAGCGCCTCCGAGCGCTCGACCAGAGCCGCGTACCTGTCCGCGGCGTCTTGAAGCTTGTCGGCCAACGCCGCTGCCTCGTCCTCGCCCACCAACGCCATCAGCTGGCTGGCGATCTCCGTGAGCTCGCTGAAGTCGGGCTTCCTCGAGAGGATGTCCTCGTGGAGGGCGTCGTGCTCGGCGACTCGTTGCTGTATCTTCTCCTCGTCGGTGGGGACCAGTTCCATGTCCCTCACCCGTCTCTCCGTCTTGTCCAACCAAATCGAGAGGGGGACGAGCTTGTCCTGGAACTGTTTCGCAACGCCCATCGCCTGCTCCAACGCCTCCATCCTCTCCGCGGCGCTCTCCGTCAGATCGTCGAACCTGCCCACCAACTCCTTCAACTGTTTCTCGATCGTCTTCCGCTCCTTCGGGTCGGCGCCACCAGCCACCTCCTGGCCCATGTTGTACAACGAGGACATCGAGTTCTGCCTGTCCATCAGCATCTTCTTCAAGAACTTTTGCCCCTGCAGCTGCGCCTTGATCACCTTGTAATCCGAGGAGGGTGGTTTCTGGTTGGACACCATCTCCTCCGTGTCGGCCAACCACTTCTGCAACCCCTCCAACGCCTCCTGGAACTTGCCAGATTGAAGGAGGCCCGCGTCCAATCTTCTGTCCCTCTCGTTCAGCTTCTCCTTCAACTCGTTCCATCTCTCGTTCATCCTGTCCACGTCCCTCTCGACGGGGCCTGTGTTCACGTCGCGGCCCGCGCTCTGGATCAACGCCTGGCCGGCCGCGTTGCACTCGTCGACCGCGCGAGCCAACGGCTCTATCCTCTCCGCCTTCAACACCCTGAAGTCCTCCTGCTGCCCCTTTATCGACTCGACCTCGGAACCGACCGGCTTCAACCGCCTCACTCGGTCGCTCGCCTCCTCGATCCCCGACATCGCCTCCCCGTGCATCCGTTGGAACTCCTGCAGCTTGTCCAGAGTCGAGGTGAGCTCGTCGTAACGCTCGCGCGACCTCTCGTCCACCCTTCCAGCCTGTCGTTTCAACTGCTCCACCTGTTCCACGATCGGCGGGGAACCGGCCGACACGCCGTGATCGGCCAATCGCTCGCCCAGGCTCTCCAAGTTGGCCACCTCCTCGTACACGCGGCTCACTTTGGCCATCGCTTTGCTCGTCTCCTCTATTTGCACGCGCAACACCTTCGCCTCCCTGCTCGAAGCCCTCATCGAGTCCAATTCCTTCTCGACACCGGCCACCTGTTGCTGGATCGTCTTGGCCCGATCGTAGAACTGGGCGACAGCGGCAGCTGCCCTCTCCAACTCGTTGTACCGGTCGTCCAGCCTCGACTTGAGGTCGTTCGCGCGTGAGGCCAGGTTCTCGGCCTCGTCTCGAAGCCGGGTCGCGTCCACCTCGCTGTTGGCCAGGTCGAGGGAGGCGAGGAGAGCCTCGAGGCTGGACTTGACGCCCTCGACCAGCCGCTCGTTGGCCAGCATCTCCTTGTTCAGCGCCTTTATCCTGCTCAACTGGTCCTCCACTTGCTTGGGCTCGGCGGCGGTCGCCTCGGAGACCGCCCTCTTCACCTTCGGCTCCATCTCCTTCAGCCAGCTCCTCGCCTTCTCCAGGCACTCGCGGTAATCCCTCTGCCTCCCGCCCACCCCGGACAGTTTGTCGGAGAGGAGGTTGGCACGGGTGAGGAGATCCTTGTAGCGGGAGGAGGCGAGGGCGACCTCGCCTCGCACGGCCGAGTCCTCGGCCGAGGTCGCCTCTTTGCCGGGCAAAGGTTGGGGCAAGCCGGCACGGAACTCGTTCAGAACGTGCAGGAACTCCTTCCCCTCGTCCGCGAATTTCTGGCCGGCCATCGTGATGAAGCGAAGGTCCGCTTGGTGGGCTATCACGTCGCTGATGAAGTCGCGGGTCGAGTCCGTGCTCGAGTGCAATCTGTTCAGGTCGGACAACGAGTGCTCCTTCTTCTCGAGGATCCTTCTCGCGCTGTCCAACCAGTGGGAGAACGTGGACAACTCGTTCCTGCGGGGAGAGAGAATTAGCGGGGTCAACTTCAATTCTTCGATCGATGCGTTTGATTATTCTTTTCAAATATCGCTTCACGTGGAATAATAAAGATATAGATTCTTCTTTTTATCTCAAATTAAATTATTTTCGAAGTTTTGCAAGCACGAAATTACTTCTCATTCGTTGAGAATATAGTGGAAAGGGGGAAATAATTTATCGAGATAGAATCGCTTCGACGAATCGAGGATGCATCTCGATAACTGCTTCATTATCAAAACATCGCGCGAAACGAAGTTGTGGATTTTGATAATCGAATAAAATTCTCTCTCTTTACAAATTCACCGAAAAAAGAGCGTTAAGAAAGTGTTAAGAAAGATCTTTGATTTCAAAGAAAAAAAAAAACACTTACTTGAACTTGACCAACTCGTCTCTGGCGGCGTTCAAACGTTTCACCATTCTCTCGGTACGATCCGAGGCTTTGTCGAACCTGGTCTTCAACGATCGGCCATTCTTCTCCAACGTGGACACCTCCTCGCTGGACAACACGTTGCTACCCGTCAGAACGACTTGACGTATCTGATCGAGGCAGGAGGAGACCGGCCTCGAGTGCGCTTCCAAGTCCACTTTGATCTTCTATATACGCGTTAATAAATTTTTTATTAATTAATTTCCTTTACCTTTTCTTTTATTTTTTTCGAATCGATAAAATGACGCTTACGTTCATAGCGGTTATTTGACTTCGAAGCTCCTCGACGTCTTCCTTCACGTTCTCCTGATTGGCCAACTGCTCCTCCACCTCGGATATCCATTTGAGCAATTTCGAGGACGTTTCGTCGCACAGCTTGTACTTCTCCTCGACCGCTTGCTACGATAATTTGCAACAGAAAAAGGAGAAAAACTTGCAATTTGGTAGGCGAAGCCAATACGCACAATAATTTTTTATTTCGAATAAACCTTATCTTAACGTGCTCACTTAACGAATTATTAAATTATTACGACAAAAGATAACATGTAATGTAATGTAAACAAAAAAAAAAAAACCGCCATCTTACCACGGGCGGTCGGTCTGTGGAGGAACAATGATGGTCAGTCAAAAAAAGAAGAAAAAAAAACGAAACGAAACGAAACGAAATAAGCTTAAAAAAAAAAAAAACAACGTATCTCACGCATGCAAACACATACACACACTTGGAAAACGTAAAACGTAACACGTTACATTGAGTATTAAAAATAATAATAATAGTAATAATAATAATTATACACGATGATTAAATAAATAAATAAAAAACACAACAGTTTTTTTTTTTTAGAAGAACCAAGGAGATCTGATCGATCTGCAGCGAAGTAGTGAATCGTGGACTGCATATTTTGTCCCGTACGTGGTTTTTTTCTATGCAGTCTCGAAGCGGACGACAGGACAGAAAATATCGAGGAAGCCGCGTTCTCGTCACAATAAGACGCGTCCACAAGCGAGAATAAAATATATAAATATAAATATATATATATATTAGGGAGTAAAAAAGAGAGGGGAGAAAAATAACAATAACAATAACAATAACAATAAAAACGAACGTATCGCGCGAATATATATATAAGAATGGCAAATGATACGGGGGGATGAGGGGGAGATGATATATATATATATATACGCGCTTACGATACTATATATATATATACACATATATAGTATATGCTTATATATAAAAAATATATATATATATACGTAATATGAGTGTGTAATAAATAAAAAATGTATCGATGTATGCTAGTATGTTCTTTTTTCTTCTTTTTTTTTTTTTTTCTCGAGGTACGTATTCTACGTGCTCTCAGAGCTTTCTTCACGCTCGAAGAGCACTCGTGCTAGAAGAAAAAAAAAAAAACCAGGAACGAGCTTAAAACTGAAACGGAATAATACCTGAAAAAAGTAAAAGTAAAAACTTGAGTGTAAATAATAAATCTGACTATTCATATATATATATTATAATATGTTATATTACGGATATTATATCATCGAAATTATCAAAAATTACTATTTTTAAAAAAAAAAAAAAAAAAAAAAAGTACGTTATATACTCGATGATTAAATGAGGGGAGGAAGGGGGGGGGATGGGGGAGGTAGTGAAGTGACGGAGGAGGAAGATTATTCATATATAAATATATAAATATATATATATATATATGTATGTATGTATGTAGCTAGATGATAACCTGTTAAGCATGCGATCACACGTAACACGTGGCTACCGCATTTTTCATAGATCGAGTTTGTTCGATCGACCGATATATATAATCGATGTTCGACTGATATTTCGATTCGAATATGGCTTCTCTTTCGTTTCACGCTTATCTCACGCGCACGTGACTTTTCTTGCGACAAGGATATCGATCGCTCGGAACGAAAGGAATAAACGTGGACAAAGAATTGGGAAGAGGGGAAGGGAGGAAAAAACGTGAAACGCCATGGTTAAACCAAACGACGTGCAAATTACGATTAAGAAGAAGAAGAAGAAGAAAAAAAAAAGAAAAAACAAAAACGTTAAAAAAAAAGTCGATGAATCGAGAGTTAGCATTAGCCGATGCGATCAGGCGACACGAAAAAGATCGACGACCGATTAATATTAATATTATCGTATATTTTCGTATACGAACACATTTTTGTTATTATCGTTCCATCATTCGTCGTTTTTTATCGATTCGTTTCATTGATTACTCGTCTCGTTGATCGGTGATCGAGCACCGACCCTCGTTGATTAGTATTATACGACATTATACATAGCCCCCTGTTACGTGAACAAAAAACGTGAGAATGCGACGTGCGTCCTATATATATATGTATATATAATGATTAATGCGAATGTATGCGTGAACGAACAGGATGATGGGAGGAGCGCCCCACGGACATTTTTATTCTTTTTTTTTTTCTTTACACCAATTTTTCCTTTTCTTTTTTTTTTTTTTTTTTAATTATTCGTCATTTCATATTTCGTCCTTCGTTATCACTCGTCGGTCATTTCCCGCTCTTCGGTTGTGACGTTTTGT